TATATATATATACACACACACACACACACACACACACACACACACACACACACACACACACATATTTATAGTCATGTATAATACACATTAGAATTTAATCTGTATGTTGGTCAAGTTTTTGGTTGATAAAAAGCTGATTAAGTTAAAACTGTTTTATGAGTATGGCTGAAGGTTTAGACATCAACTGATTAAATTAAATTTACATAATTTTGCTTCTTAACCGTTACATTGTCATTGTTTAATTATTTTATAATCTTTAAAGCCTAATGATTTTACAATATATATAGAAACATTAATTAGTGCCACTGCTTCTTCTGTTGAAATCATTTTGAAGTGCTTCCTTTCTTTGTTGTTCTATTTAGATTATAAAACTTCTCAACCCAAGAGTCATGTTCAGTGGTCATACTCATCACGGTTGTTTTTCTCAGCATTGGGAAGGGATTCCAGAGTGGACACTTCCATCATTTAGTTGGAGAAATAAAAAAAATCCTAGTTTCATGCTGGTTAGTATAGTGAACTTGACCAAGGTCCTGAGTGTGTGTGTAACCTCAATGACGTGTCCAATAGATTAATTAATAACTGTTTTATAGATATGGCTGAAGGTGTAGACACAAACTGATTAAATAAAAACTGTTTTATGGACATGGCTGAAGGTGTAGACACCAACTGATTAAGTTAAAACTCTTTTATGGGTTAAACCTTCAGCCATAACACCAGCTGATTAAGTTGATTTGATATGAGAAATCAATATCTTTATTATTTGGGCCATCATTGGGACAGAGATCATATTCAAAACTGATAACAAAATATATTTTTTCAGTTATCTGTAACATGAGATCTTGGCTGTGTGACAGAGTAAAAATGTGTCATTTCTAGTTTTATAAAAGTTATATGGTTCTCAAGTTTAATAATCTTGTATTACTTTATCTTAAAAGAGGGGGGTGAGACTTGTAAGAACAAGAAGAAACTGACAGTTTTTAAATACAAGTAAAGTTCTATAATTTCAATAAATATTTTAAAATATTTATTATAGTATGATAATTTGTTTTATTGTTTTTTTTTACAGGGTATATTTACACCAAACAACTACAGTCTTAGGAAATGTTACATGCCAGTCGAGAACACTGTATTTATGCTATATTTTGTTGGGGGTAGTTTAATTGTAGTATGGTTAATAATGAAAGTAAGAAGGCAGTGGTTTTGTTTCTTACATACAAGAACTCTGAAGGAAAAAAGATAATCCAAGCATATTGAGTAATTTAAAACATATTTTTGTACTTAGAGACCCAACAAATTAGCAGTAGAGAAAGGCCCTTTTCACATAGTCTGAGCTTCAAATGTGCTTTATAGAGAAATATAAAATTCACTTTTCAACTCTGGTATGATCATTGTATCTTAGTCTTTTTAAGCTTATAGTATAAGTGAAAAGCTAGGAGTTATGGGGAACTTATTTTTACTGTATTGGAAGAAATTTGTTTTTTAATTTAAAAATATTTCTGAAGATTTTGTTTAACATTATAGTTTATTCAGTCATTTTGTAGTTTTATACAGGCTTTCTACAGTAGAATAGAATTATCGGCATGTGTTCATCTAATCATTGTAAGTAGTAGAAAAGCTTAGGCCTAAAAAAAAATCTGGTTCCAAGTCCTCGCCCAATTCTTTTTTTTTTACCTTCGATTATAAATTTGTTGGGCAAAGCTTAGCCGAGCAGTCAGCATGGCAGACAGTGGATCTGAGCTTCAGTGTTTTACACCATGTTGCCAAAAAATAAAAAAAAAATGTGTTGTGCACTTTGGGGCCATGGGTTCATTATAAAAGTGATGATCAAATCCCACTATATGATTGTTGGTGGTGGGTTGTGTTGTTCATCTTCCTCCCCACTAACTTCCCTTGAGTAGTTTTACACAAAATTTATTTAAGTATTTTTGTTTTCCTGTGGGGCAAAACAATTATTTTACTCCTCAGTTTAGAAACATCCAACTAGGAAAAGGGAAAACCCCCACTTACCCATCTCTCTATCGTATTTTTTGGGGAATGGGAAACGAGAACCACAATTTTTTAAAGGCCTTGCTATATATTAAAATAAAAATTTTGAAATTAAACACACCTTTGTTGCTGTTTTTTCACCTTCATAAGCTAATAAAACAGTTGGTTCAAGAGCTTTCATATTAAAAAGCTTATTTTTTTCATTGTTTGAACTTAAAGCATTGTATTTCATTTATCCATTGTTGTCTGTGGAAGTATTGTTAGAAATACAGTGGTAGCCTTTGTGTAGAAGATACTGAAAAACATGTCGCCGCTTATAGGAAAATATTTTTAACGTACTTTATATGGAAGAAAGTAAAGAAGACAGAAGAATTCTTCCGTTGCTAGAAGATTGTACTGTGTTTGAAAATAAACTGTAAAAAGGAAAGTCAACACACCATTTTAATAGATAATTGGTTTTATTTTGAAGAAGAGTGAAAAATAAGTTACTCAATGGTTTGTATTTTCTAGTTATCCTCTTCTGCAAGGTGTCTTGCTTTCAGATTTGTGATGGTCACTCAGACACGACCTTATTCATATCGAAAATTAAACTTTGCGATTGTTTTTTGTTTGTCTTTTAATATTTTCAGGTAGGTGGACGTAATGCTAGTGTTAATGAAAATAATATATATATATTTGTATGTATATATGATTTAGGTAATATATATTCAGATCTTCGATGTGTTAGTAATAGTGAATCGCATACATCTTGTAAATTATGATTTATCTGGTATTAACTGGACATAGAAAGATAAATGTTTTCACTCATGAGTCGTATGATTTGTTTGATATAAGATTATTTTGCTTTCAGTATTGAATAACATGGAGTTGTTTGAGTTTACAACTGTTTAGATGTTGTCTCAGTTCTTTTCATAATGATTAAAAACAAATGTTCATGTGATAAAAAAATGTACGCACAAAATACTTTTATTATAAGCTTGCTTCAGTGATATATTACAGAATGATACAAGCCCTAGTGGTGTATATAAAAAAATAAAAGTGTCACATCATGGGGGCGACATTAGATCAGTCAATGTTATTATAATTTATTGGAAACTACTTACACTCAGTGGTAAAATAAAAAGGGGATAAAATTCATAGAATATTCACAGAACCAGAGATTATATCAGTAGTAGCAAGCTCGGATAAGAGCCACTTTATTTCCACTAAACTAATTATTCTAAGTTTATCTCCTATCTACGTTTAATAAAAAAAAATACACCGGTTGTTCGAAAGCCATAATTAGAAGATAGAGAACGGTTAGCCATTGCTGATATGTAAATTCTGCAGTGCGAAGTTGTTCTTTAGACTACATTGCGTATATCTTCAATCAATGACGATAAAGATGCATCGAAACTTACTCACTGGGCAATATCAACAACTTCTAAGTACTTTAGTTACCCCAATACAAGTTCAGTCTGATGCACAAGATTTAAGTGGTGTAGTGAAGGTAGAACTTGCAGGTTATTTTAAAGTAGATCATATATATATATATATAATGTAAATCTGTATGTAGTCCAGAAATATTAACACCTCAAATATACGTTCCAAGATGAAAAACCAATTTTTCTAGTACTAAATTGATTCAAGTCTCCCTCTTAAGTTATATTTTCCTTTTATTAAGTGTAAACGTAGTTCCTTAACTTTGTTTTAAAAGGGTCTAAAATATCAAGTAGAGGGTTCTGTATGCTCTGTTTGAAAAAATAAATTGCCAAATACTTGATGTTTCGTGCATCCAAAGAGTGATTGTGGTGGTAGGTAAAAGATAGAATTGAGAAGGCAATATTTCTACAATTTAGCATCGTTGGTACACATCATATGTTTGTGTATTATTTCTTCTCGTATTCAAATAGTTTTTGAAAAATGTGATCTTATCTAGTCAGTATTGTTTTCAATTCTTTGGTGTAATTATGAAATAATCCACTAATAGAGTGAAATGGTTTTCGTAATTTTTAATGGTATTACATCAAACGTAAATTGATAATACCCTCTGATACCCAAATATCTGTTTAAATCTAGATTGTTTTTGGTAGATAGTCTTAAAAAATAAACATACCAAAATCAGCAGTGTTATGAATAAAATAGTAATCTCAAATAGATGCCTAGGTTATTTTATTACATACGAAAATCAGCAGTGTTATGAATAAAATAGTGATCTCAAATAGATGCCTAGGTTATTTTATTATGCCAAAAATCTAGAAAAACATTCTACTCATGAAGACAGTAAAGTATAATGAGTGATGCTTAAAAAACTGCTGATATGTTAATTATTTATTGTTCCATTAGGTGTTTTCAGTAATAAATGTACACCATTAACATATCATGGACAGTTTGTTTTAAACTTACTACTGCTACTAACAAAGCTTTTTGGTAGCTTATTACTAATCTTGAGTATTGTGACATAAGCCGTACAATAGAACATTGGTTGATTTACAGTGTTGTGACATAAGCCATACAATAGAACATTGGTAGATTTAAAGTGCCTGTGAGTGTTGACGTAAGCCGTACAATAGAACATTGGTAGATTTAAAGTGCCTGTGAGTGTTGACATAAGCCATACAATAGAACATTGGTTGATTTACAGTGTCTGTGAGTGTTGACATAAGCCATACAATAGAACATTGGTAGATTTAAAGTGCCTGTGAGTGTTGACATAAGCCGTACAATAGAACACTGGTTGATTTATAGTGTCTGTGAGTGTTGTGACATAAGCCATATAATAGAACATTGGTAGATTTATAGTGTTGTGACATAAGCCATACAATAGAACATTGGTTGATTTACAGTGTCTGTGAGTGTTGTGACATAAGCCATACAATAGAACATTGGTTGATTTACAGTGTCTGTGAGTGCTGACATAAGCCATA